ACCATCACTTCCTTTATTTCATCATTCTTCAGCACCACTTCACTCCTACATCAAATTCATTTCGAAATCTTTTGGATCATCATTCAGCTTAAATCGCAACCAATTGGCTGTACAGCATTTCATCACTATTTCGTTCATCCATTTGTTTTAATAAAGGATTTATCCCTCCACTTACACACATTCAAAGGACGATCGGATACAATCAATCCAATAAACTCCCCGAACTCAAACGCAACCGACATTCTCCCAAATAATTCACAACAAATGGAACTAAATAACACAATGTTTTAAAAAATCAGGGCTCTTTTCATCTTTCACTCTGTTACGATAGGTATTTCGACAAAACAAAAATTTTATTTTCTTTCTTATCCATAGCAACGTGTAATTATGTAATTCACCGGAAACAAAGAAAATAAAGTACACATGGAAACTGATAAGTTCTTTTTTTGAATACTTTTTTAAAAAAACTTATGAATTTTAAGAAATCTTTCAAAGTTATGCTGTCTCTTCATTATTAGTTCAAAATATTGATTTTCTGTAAGATGTTATCCCAATTATTCAATCATGCGATCCTTTCGTGCAGTATTATTTATTGTATTAATAAATTTGTTCATAATTTTGAATTTTGTTTTTTAAATGTCTTCAAAACTAGGCAAGCCTAACTTCAATATTTTATTTGAATTATCGAATTTTCATAACTAATTGCTATTGCCCATAAATATATTTTGATCATTTCGTAATTCACTGTTGCTAAAAGTAATAAAATGAAAGAAATAATCAAAATAGGAATCTATGATCAACAAAACTGCTTTTGATAAGATGATTAGTGAAAAACGTTGAGAGAAGTTTCTTGATAATAATTGATGCAATATAAGTGATGAAAGCTGAGCATGCATAACTCTTCGTGAAGATATACACACTACAAAATAACGATAACTCAAATGATAAATAAATCCATTCGTTGCCATACATGAATGCTCCACTATAAGCTATTTCTGATTTATCCCTATAATTAAAATTAACATTGTAAATTATTATCGATAAAAATTATCACGCTAATATGATCTTTATACTGTGATACATTTTATGAATTTTACATCCATTCAAGTCTAGCACCATGATGAACACTTATCAAAAATTGTTAAATTAGCCATACCAAATAATTTTTCACACCTTACATTATAAAATCCTTTGAAGTTGCATTCCTACCTATAACAAAATAAATTTTCTCATTCTGCTTTATAGCTATTTTAATCGTTCAAAAATTATTTGATAAAATTTTCTAAAGCTTATTTTAACTTTATTGATAATTTTTATTGTATAAGTATGACATCATACATCTACCAGCGCTAATTTATTTACAGTTCTTTCCAGTATAATCTTTTTATTATTTATGCACATCTGCTTACTATCCATGCAAATTATCTTAAGCTCATTTTTTTTATCTTTCTATTAAAGTTTAAAAATCGTTAAATTTTGAACAAATTAAGTATGCGTATTAGTCTAACCTTATAAAATTGCCAACGTTCGATGAATCAATGAATTCGATATCGAATAACATTTCAAGTAACGAAGCATCATTAATAATATAATCCACTTGTGGATAATTGTGTCCAATAAATTTCATTAAGAAATTATTTAATTGTTCATGTCTCTAAGATATGCAGGTTTGTTTTTTTGGTACCCATAACTTTGCTTATTAATTTAATTTAATTTACCTTAACTTTGTTTGCATAACTTTTACTTATATACTTTTACTTATATTTTTAAACTAAAATTTAACGACTTTTAAAGTAAAATGCATTATTTCAAATATTGCTGATAAAGTGAAAATGCTAATATTATGCTCTTAATTTCAAACTTTTACAAACTTATATTTTTGTAATGTACAGGTTTTCCACTATTATCAGTATCGTTACTTTCACATATTATTCGCAGAATAACCTTAGCAATTTTTTGAACATTAGTAGTTGTGGCGTCATCGCTGATAGATTTATCAACCTGTTCCGTATCATTTTCTGATATTTTTGAAGCTGCATCGAATTGTTCACGAAATGCTTTTGGTAGATTAATGATATAAGTTTGAAGTGTACTACCTGCTTCCAGGCCGCGTGCAGCACACAAATTTTCCTTAAATAAATTCCTTATTTAATGAATAAAATTTGTTAATTTAATAAAATGAGTCAATAAATTTAGATTATTTAATAGTTAATATTGCACTGAATTCATATATAATAAGCATATATTATGTTATGCCAGTATTCATATCAAATGATATTGATTCATTGTTATATTAACATTTCCATTTTCGTATTAATTAATTAAATTAGAGGGTTTTTGAAAAAAAAACTTTAAAGAATGTATTACTCGTTCTCGATGCAAATATTGATTCATCTTAATCATATCAGTATCAGCTTGATCATGTACTGAACGTCCATGTATGTAATATCCGTGTAAGGGATGTGTGAGGACAAGTATGCTAATATTTGAAATTGAGCATAGATCGATCATATTGTGAAATGGATCTAATAAGAATCGTTCAACAATTGTAATGCGAAGAAACCACTGAATCGCCGATACAATCAAATAGAGACTACTGATTATGGCTAATTCGCTTAATGTTGTACTTGTGGAGAATGTTGGAATATCTGAAAATTATTATGTTGATAAATTTTAATCTTTAAAATTTCATTCCAAGATTTATATAACAAAATGTTTTAAAATAACTTTGTTTCAAAATAAATGTATTAAATTTTATTATCAGAAGAAATACTTTTACTCGTGCAATTACAATATTGTTCAATATTACACTTTGCCTAAAATATACTTTAATAATAAATATATTTTACTATTTTTTAATTAAAATTTGATGAATTCAAATTTTTTTTTTAAATCCTTTTTTGGTAAGTCTACAAAAGAAAAGTTTAATGTCTAACTTGTAAAGACTACCGGTGTGCAATCCAGGTGTAATAGCTGCCCAATTTTCAAGTTTTAACCAACGAAGCAATGCAATCATAGTGATCATTTGTAAACCAACACAAGTTTTTCGATAATCTTGTAATTCGTTCCATTCGTTTGCTACCAGGTAAGTTCGCCTCAAAAGAAAGGTTTATTTCATTTTTTTTCTGAAATCTTAAAGTTGCTTTAAAATCTTAGTCAGTTATAAATGTAAAAAACCAATCTTCCAAAATATGATCATCTGTAAAAGACAAAAAAAAGTTAAAAAAATCAAAAATATCTAACAATAAAAGGAATATAAACGGAAAACGAAAAGAGATTAGAAAAAGAAAATCGGGAGGAAAAAAACAAACAGAATTATAATTTACTAAGTCTATAAATAAGTAGCTCAATTATTTCAAGTGTATATGTTATAAATATTAAAAATACTGAAAGGATTATACTAAGATAATCACGGAGATGAAATTTGATATAAGTTAATCTCATGCATAAACTGTTTTTCATAAATAATGAAGACAATAAAATTTTGAAAAATCGAATTAAACTGAGCCAATCTGAAATGAATTAAATCTACGATATTATCAGAAAATTTAATAATTGGAAATGAAATGACTCATTATACCATATGACAGGCTGGGTGATTTTTGCATTCTTTCTCATATCAGATGATGAAGTTGTTTCGTTATTTATTTCAAAGGTCACGCGAGGTCGTTCCCAATCGATGAAGAATGTTTCGGTAAGAATTATATGTGCGCTACAGTGGAATAAACTGATTAGTTTAAGCGCCGCTGCTACTAATATGTATGATAACAGCGTCGCTTCCTGAAAGAGAAATATAATTTATTCATTTTGTTAGTGTCAAATGTCAAATTTTACGATGGGTTTTAGGACACAATTTCGTTTATTTGCAATTTGTAAAATAAAATATTTAATTAACAGCTGTGGCAGTAAAGCCTTTAAATTTTATAAATTTTTAAAATTTCATTTTGCAATAAGCTCCAAATTTTGAAATAAATCGTTCAATTTTATTGACAAGTTCGATTGAAGTAAAATTTTGGAGTTTTCCTTTTTTTTTCAAATTATTACTTACGAAATAAATCATTCTTACCTGCTGAGAATCGAATACAACATACTGAGGTATTTGTTGCATTTTATATGCAAAAATAACAAACAGAGTTGGTATTAGAACAACAAAAAAAAACACATCACTTAAAATTTCGAATTCAAAAAAGACAAGTTTAATAAGCGTGGCGCTATCAATAATCATTTTGCCGGAACGCTTTCCCCAACTGAAATTATCGATATTTAATATCAATTTACAATGGTTTTTGAGAGTCAGATAATTCGAAAATATTTTATTCATATATAATTTATTCAATTATTGATTCCACTTATAATTTTTGTGCCTGTAAATATTACATGAAAATTAATAATTATCCTTTGTTAGATTTGATGAATGAACATGAAAGAATGAAAGTGATAATGTAACGATAAAAATGATAGCAATGATTTTACCTGTAAGCCCGTATGGCTGAGCAAATGAATGATAAGACAGTCAGAATGAATAATACAATTCCAATATATTGAAAGAATTGAGAATCATTTACAATGTAAGTAATATTGAATTGAAAAAATAATTGTTTTTCCGGATCCCACTGCACTTCCGCATGCCGGATGCGTGCATACGGTGGCATTATGTGGCCATCTTTTTGAGACTATAAATTAAGGCAGTTTTTTTTCCTATATATTTTTTTTAGGAAAATTTAAACATTTCTAGTGATTTCAAATTTGATTCAATATTGGTTCATAGCAAACAGAATTAACATGCATTATTTGAAATTAATATTTATTGCAAAATTGATAACCTCCAGAAATTTCACATACCTGTATTTGTATTCTAATATCAATTTTTTCTGGAAAACGAACGATAGCCGAATGTTGTGGACTATTTAAGGCATCTAATGAAATTGCATCAACGAAATACAATCGTCGGGTGAGGATCCATTTTGGATTATAAAATTTGTCTGGCGTTAAACGATTTACAAATTCACCATATAATCGTATATTTTCATTTAAAATTGGCATAGCATACATTTGTTTCTGGCCAGATTTATTTGAGAATACAATGTATAAATCACTGAAAATAGGTTGAACACCGGAAAGATGCAGTAAATGTTGAGATTGAATGAAACATTTCATCGTATAAAATGTTCCCAAATGAAATTTATCCTTCTGCTGTGAACATGTATTCAAATTACTTTCACTCAATGGTACCATTCCAAGGAAAGTACCATTGAGAGCATATTGTACTAGAATAATTTCCAGGAATGAATTCGAATGACGTTTGTCGAAGCTGAAACTTGCTGATATGGCAGTTTCATGTAATAGTTCAATTGAAGCTTCACTGTTGGAATAAAATAAGATCGGTGTAGTTAATAATCCATCATTTCTAAAAATTATGAAAAACTTTTTTTTCTTTTTTGACCTCGATTTTTTGCTATATCGGAAATTCATCATTTTATAATCAATAAAAATAGGAGAAATTATACAAATGTTTCAATTTCAAAGCAGAACTTCATTAATTTTTTAACTTTGAAATTATTTTTCAAACATATACAACAAAAAATTATGATTAGTAAATTTTTAATCCTTTTCTTCTCGTTTTTTTTTTGAATGGTGATTTCATTCAGAAACTTTAATTTTAAAAGAATACAAGTCGCAAAAAAACTATTCATTAAATTACCGTTTGTAAAGCATAGAATTAGCAATTTTCTCCAATTCTGTACATGCGGAAAATTGTTCGATACGATAGTTTTGAAGGACACAAATGTTAGCTAAATGTTGACAAGCATGCGTATTATTATTGGAACAACCTTTCACCGCTCTTTTGATATTCTTCGCTATATAATTGGAACTTTCCTGAGAGCCATCTTCAAGTTCAATCATTGTTAACATTTTATTCTCTTCAACTTTTTGACATATTTCACCAAACTAAAACTACAATTTTGTTTAAAATATTTTAAAAAATGATTAGAATTAAACACTAGATGTTATATAGAAGTTTGATTTTTTCACATAGTAATTTAAATGAATAAAGTTTTACAATTTTAAAGTGGAAAAAAATGCAGGAAACAAATCTTTAGATTTTGAATTTAGAAAATTTTTTTTATTAAAAAAGATTGCTATTTGTTCTGTTCAAATTGATGCAAGAAATTTTTCACTTAAATTTAATAAACTTAGAATAAAGTGATACCTGACATTCACATATGTCATCTGTTTCAACACATGGTATACAACTATCACCATGACTGGAAACTTTTTTGTTAGGAGGACATTTTGCGCATTTTTGTGCTACTAAGATACCATCAGCTGATATTGTTCTTTGAGCGAAATGTCGAAATGGACATGATGGACATTCATTTTCAGTTCCGCTCATTGGGCATTCAATACAGAAATGACCATCATCGCTAACCTTTTTCCCTTCAATAAATTGTTATTTTAGAAATGGAATGAAATTTTTGCGCAATCTGTTAGGCATAAAAAATATCAATAGATAAATTGAGAACTTCCGCACTTACCTTTTTCACATTTCTGACAGGTACCATCAGAAAGCTGAACAAATCCTTTTGGACAGACGCAGAAAAAATGATTTACACTAGCGATTTTATCTTTATTGCAATTACGGCATTGTAAATTTAATGAGTCAAAATAAGTGGTAAAATTGGAGCAGTTACGTGGTGTAATATAATTAAATAGTAGCGGTGTGTACGTTGAGCACATCACATGCGTGAAGAATAGAAAAAGTAATGAATAAATCATCAAAGTTATTTTTGAGCAATATGCAAGATGGATGCAATTTCTCTGGTGTTATTACACAATATTGCTCATAAAATATGAATAATAATGATAGTAATAATAATAACAGATAGTAGGAAAAAAATATGGTAAAATAAAGATTGAAAATTAATTTAGTTATTATGCACGCTGATTGATGAATTTGAATAATCAATTTGATGATAAATCAACTAAAAATTATGATTTTAATAGTAATGATATAATGTTTACAGCATTATAAAAGTCTGTGGAAATGTATTATTTTAGTTGCCTTGACAACGCATGTATGCATTTTAATTGCGATGCTTTATAAATGAAGCAATCAATCATTTAAAAAAGACCACTACTGAATTGAACATATTTATATACATTGATTACTTGTATACAAACATTCATGTATATAAGTAATCAATTTTGTTATTACTAGTTATTATTATTATTATTATTAATTTTATACAGCAAAAGGAAAAAGAAATTTGACAAAAAGTCTTTCCTGCTTTTGCAATAAAAAACGGAGAAAAATTCTAGAATTTTTTTATCTTAGAAAGCACTTATTATCGAATAGTTTTCAAACATATGTTAAAAAGGATATTCTGAAAATTGCCAAAAATAAGAATTTCTTTTTAAATTTTAAGGAAAGTAAATAAAATAGCTGCTATTATCCTTTTTAACTTAACTTAGTCAATACGGTAATTGAAATATCACATTTGGGTGGCTCAAAGTGAGAAATAATGATAATGGATAATACTGTGGTCATTCATTCTGAAAACTTGAAAATTATTTTAAAACTTCCTAAATTTCGAAACCATTTCTTTAATAAGCAAGTTAACGAAATATTCAATCTAATCCTATTTGCCGGAGTACCGATCATAATACACTTATTGATATTTCGTGTATTGAGTATGGTTTAATTCGATGACAAAATGATTATAGTGTATTCATTCCATATACCGATTAGTTTATCAGTAAACGAATACTTGTCAAAGTTTTGATGTTATCAATTTGAGTGCTTATTTAAGAGAACATTTTGACATGCGACCATATTACCATCGGAAAGCTTGCCATTCTGAATAACCGAGTTATGATGATGCTCAGGTACCACAAAAAGTAAGCCTAATTCTTACGGGAGATTTTGATAGTACCAGACAAATAAATGTGTAGGAAATCTAATACGCATAAATATTATTATCAAAGATTATCATTATCATTGACGCATATCAAGTTAATTGGTGTATGTCAAATTCCGCATAAAATTTTAAATAGTTTAAAATTCACGAGATTTGAATATTTCTAAAAACTTTTTGCTAATTAATTTTCAGCGTGGTAAGGAGAGAATTGCAAGAACACGTAATGCAATCTATTAAAAAAAGAAATGAAAGCAGAATTCATATTTTGGGAATATTTTTAAAATATTCTGATTCACAGAACTGAATTTATTCCTATTTCAGATCCCATTAATAAATTAATCTTTCAAATTTTTGCATATTAAATAAAATAATCGAATGCATCACAGCAATTGTCATATTATCTTTTATTTGAAAATTTTTTCAAAATCTTCAAAGTGAGAAAGAAAATTAGTCAACATCAAACATATCCTATTTAATACACATAATCATTTGCAGAAAAAGAAAGCGAAACAATAATGAATAAATTTGACAATGTAACGAAGAAAGCAAAAAAAATAATTTAAGTGAGCTCGCGTACAATTAATAGCAGTAGTAAGTAAATTCAAAGAAATAAATAAAACAAAAATATATGAACAATTTTAATGGAAGAGATCGTTGGACATGAAATATTGCAGCAACATGTTAAGAAGAGAAATAAACAAACAAACAAACAAACAAAAAAGAAAAAAAATTATTTTGAAAAATATATTTTATTGTAGCTTCCAGCACTCTCGATTATTAATCCAGCACGTTTCTTATTTTAAGTTCCTAAAGTTTTCATTTGGAATTTTAAATATTTCTAAATTCTCATTATGAAAATACTTTTGACTTGCAATCAACTAATGGAATTACAGTGTCGATGGAGGCCTTTAGCTAGGTACATTTAGAAAGCTTATATTGAATTGGGTCACCTTTAAGGTTCAAAAATGAATTGTTATTTGTATGAATAGATCTAAAAAAGCTAAAAAATGAAAAATGAAAAAAATCGCCATTATTGGAATACATTTAAGAATCGAATTTTTCGATTTTTATTACAATCACATTTCATGATTTCAGAAATTTTTTTCATTTCCAATATGTAAATTCTTTAGACATCAATCTTCATCATCAATTTGTCCTTTTCCAAAAATTTAATTTGCGATATATTCATACAAAAGATTTAACTAAAAATTATTGAAAGTTAAAATGACAGAGAAAAAAAGAAAAAGCAGAAAAAATTACGGCTTAAAGTGACTTTGACATCATTTAAATGAGTAAATTTAATGATAATCAGGCTTATGGCAATAGGCAGTTTCGGTGAACAATCCATATTAATCAATAAATAAGTTAACGCATCACTCAACCGTTAATCACCGAGCCATCAATTGGTTAATCAAACAATCAATCAGTTAGTTGATTAATCGGTAAATCAATCAACCATTCACGAATTAATCAATTAATTAAATAACAAAAGTAAGCAATATAGCAACATTTCTGGCAGTCACAAGCATATCGCATATTTGTACGTATGGTAAAAACAATAACGCTAGTAGAATTAGTCCTAATAAGTAACAGTAATTATAGTAATAATAACAATAATAATAATAATACTAATAATAACAGCAATAGTAGTAGTTAATATTAGTAGTAATAGCACTGTAATAGGAACTGTTGTAATTATTGTAGTTATTGTAGCAGCGGTAGTGGCAGTGATGTAATGATGATTACATTAACAATCACAGAGGTACTATCGAATAAGCAGACCATTCCACTTAATCAACATTGAGATTCAGATACCGGATTTATGGCGCTTGTCACATCTGTACTACTGCTAGCAGAACCGGAACCACTACTCTCACTGCCATCTGCAATAAAAAAAATCTAAAATTAAAATTAAGGAAATCTAAAACTAAGGTAAAATTAAGGTAAAATTTATCATACATGTATTCAAGAAGGTGCAAAAAAATATCAAATAAATATCGCAATAAATCGCTGTAAGGAATATTTTCATTTCAGAACAAAAAAAAAAAAGTTTAGTCAGAAAATTTTTCGATTTTTTCATTCCAAAAAATTAAAATTTGATTTTAAATGGAAACAGAAAGTTAAGGAAAAGAAATTATGAATAAATAAATAAATTAGATAATTAAATTCATAACAACAATGATAACGATATGGAAGAAGAGATTGGTCAGACTTACTAACTCGGCTTGGCCATATGTCAATCAACAAACGAAGTGTTCGAGTTGCCTGGTCCGTGTCTAACGGATTGATGACAGTCTTTGGTGGATAAGTACCACTGCTACCTTGAGTATTATCACTTTCTACTGGTGCATTACAGGAACAGAAAAGCAAACAACCAAAAATACCCGTCAAACGTGCGGTAGTGATACCATTATGCTGTTCCGAACTCATTACCGTCTTTAGATGATCCATTATTTGTATCAGTGTATTCTGTAAGAAAAAGTACTATTTTTAGAATCAGTACTAATTAAACGATTGACAACAATATGTTTAGAATCAATTTTAATAATTAATATGATCGTAATATATTTTGCTTAAAATTCACATTTATGGTGTTTGGATCTATGTTTCGTTATCAATTCTATGTCAAAATGAAAAGATCAGTGGAACAAACTATATGGGAGAAATACTTTTAAATAAAATGACTAAATTTAAAATAAATCTCGAGCAATAAATAAATGTAAAAATTGAAAAACTAAACTTGAGAAAACAATTAATTTGAAATATACCTTATTGGGTGTAGGCAGACAATCGATAACTCTAAGTAATAAACGGCGATTTCCTCGCGGATCGTTGGGCAGTGCAACGGAAAATGCTTCAACAATCATGCTATAAATTGAAATTGATATCAATGGTTCTGGTAATTCACGCAAAAAATCTTTTACCAAACATGCTAATACGTTAGTATCAGGAACTGCTTCCACGCTCAACCGTGCTCGTTCTACATTTAATTCCAGCTCCTCACGTAACATACGTTTCTTCTCCAATGATCCACATACTGCAACATCTTAATTACAAATAAATATAAACAGTAATTTCGAATTTTAAAAAATTTCGAAATATTCGTTATTGTGTGCACTGATATATGAACAAATGCAATATTAAGTTTTTTTTAATTTTAAAATTTCAAATCATTTGCTAACATACATATATAGAGACCAGAGTAATCAACACCACGATGTTCAATTTCCTGTAAAAGACGAGAAAGTACCAGGGGTGTTTCGCGTCCTTCTCTTTCAACCAATTGTTGCAAAGGTATTCCAAATAATCCGTCATGTCTGCAGAAATGTTTTCATTATATAAACAGATACTTATTATAATAATTTCTTAAGTTTTTAACTATCTAAAACTCGAAGTTTAAATAATCATAATTTAATAAGAAAAGAACACAAACCTGCAATTAACGATCCTTCGAAATGCTACAGCAGCATTATGATAAGCAATCTTGACAATTAGTTGACCTTTCGGCTCCAAATTCAATGCAAACATTCTATTTCCATTTAAGCGATCCACTACAAATGCTTCCAATAGCTTCAACGATCCCTTATGGCACAATTTATGCCTGAATAATACAACTATTAATTAGCTTAGATGCTTTTCAAGTTATTTATTTAAATCTGTTGAAAGCTACCTGTATTGTGGATGCCAAGAATACACGAAAAAATTAATATGAGTAGCATGCTGCACGTCAATTTCAAACGTTTCACGCCATCGAAATTTCTGCTCAGCTGTGGAAACACCTGTCCTAGCACGATGTGTTTCGTTCACCTCCAACACGCAATACATTTCTTCGGTGAATGCTTTTTGCTTTTCCGGCATTTTCAATCCTCTTCCTTCGATAATCTATGAATTTACAATAAATTTTGTACTATTAATAAAATGTTCACAAATGAAAAAAATGCATGAACTAGCGAAAAGCAAAAATAACCGTTAAGTAAAATAAATAGCGGCAAAAAAATAATTGCTTAAAGATAATAATTAGACAATGACAATCAATAAGTAATAGGAACAAAAATTCTTGCAGTTCTTGGAATTGATTATGTAGTAAGTTTAACTTAAAATAAATACCTGTATAACAAGAATTCCAGTAAGTGAAGTGACATCTAATGCAGTATCAACATCAAAGCCTGGTCCAGCCACCCTTAGTGGTACCCTTCTATTCATCAATGGAGATACATGTAACCTATCTAACAGATCACCTCGTTCATGACCAAGCGAGAATCTATTTGTCTGAAATTAAACAAATTCATCAAACTTCAAAGCATTAACATTCATCTCTAAAACTCACTCTTATTCTTTCTTTCTCTTTACATATTATAAAGATTTTCCAAAAACTTATACTCCCGATAATATTTGCTTATATTGCACTAAATAATACACCATTTTCAAAAATTTATTTCTTTGATATTTCAAAAATTAAATAATTAACTAACAGCGGTTAACAGAGCTCTGGAAGGAAGGGAAGAACTTCGAATTGAAGCACCGGGTTTTTCACCGTATGTATGTGACCATCTTGATTGCCTTTCCTGTGGTCTAATTCCCGTATCGATACATGCCCAATTACGATATTCTTGCGCCGAGAATATATCATCGATAGTTCGACCATACTGCCCACTAATATTATTACCACCGAGACGCATTCGAGCATCTGAATGAACAAGCTCAGGGAAGAAAATAAAAATGATATGAATGAAATCGATCAAGCATGAAATGAAATAAAAAATGTTTTTAGCTACTTATATATTGATTTGAATGATTTTTATGTTTGTTTAAGGGAATATTTTAAATTCAAGTAGTTAAGATTCATTAATTAAGGAACTATTAAGGCTAATTTCAAAAATTGAACGATTTTTCATTGGAATATTTCTTTTCCAACTGTAGCTTCTGCTAATTATGGCAAGCATTTGTCATCTATTTCATAGTTGTACGATTTTGTAGTCGTATATAAAAATCAAACTTATTAGATTTCAGTAATCTACAACATCATAATATTTTCAAGATGAATTTTTATAGAACTAATCTGAAGCATTTTGAATTAAAATTCTTGACTGATGAATATTATTTTATCAGAAATATTAAACAGCATAAGGCAATAGAAATTTACAAAGTGCAAAATGTTTTAGCCTTACTATACCGTTACTGACTTTCTCCATACCTTTTTCTTTAATTTGAAGAAGCAACAAGCAATAAATATAAATCTATTTGATTCATTCTAGAAAATTTAATAAACTAATAACAAAAAGAACCACTTAAGATTTGATAATCAATTTGCAAATTGAATAGCGGTAAATTGTCCTCAGATTTATGCTAATGAGTAGAAGGGAGACGAATTCAAATTATTTACTCAATTGAATTTATAAATTTGCTCATTTTATATTTACTAAACTATTTGCATAATATAACAACAGTGAAACTTTCTTAAGAATATCATTCATAGATAAGAGTGTCAGTGTTAAAAGGTTATTGGCATATAAGAATCAGGAATTTTAATTTTGATTAAATATTAGAGTCATGCAATAAAAAGTGGACGAGAAAAAATCCCGAATTTCGATGACAAAGCAAATTTAAAACTATCGAAGCATAAAAACATGAATTTAAAAAAAGGAATAGGAATCCTTGAAGATAAATGTGCATTTGGTGAAAGAGATAAGAAATGGTAAGGATTGATAAAAATCATTGATGATGTGATATCAACTGCTCGTATAGAAAATTGCTTTAAAGTGAAATATGTGATAAGTGACAGATATCTGCTTGCAAAATGTTTGAAATATGTTTCAAATAATAAATATGGGAATTTCAAGTTATTTTTTCATTTAAGAAAGTTATTTTTGCATTTAAATTGATAAACTTGGGAATTAAAATATAAGGAATGCGTTAGAAACGGCTGAAAACGGTGAAACGGCATTTGAAAAAAAAAAAAGAAAAGAGGATCTTTTAAAAAAAAAAGTTCGTAGCAAACAATAAGTTCAATATGTGAAATTTAAGTGGTGAAGACAAAATTTTTGGAGAGCTTTTTGGGATACGGTATCAATAAGATATATACATGAGAGTAAAGAAAAAGGAAAAAGAGACCATTCGTTGGTTCAAAAAAAAGGAAGACAAGTGGAAAAATGGAGAAAATGAAGATATGCGATATTTAGTACTTTTGTTGCTTACTTTAAACAAAGTGAACTAAATTTAAACAAACGTCTGAATTTGATTATATGTGCTATAAATTAATTTCTGATTCATGAAGAAAAGATATTTAAAGAATGGACTAGTATTAATCATAAGTCAACTACTATTTAGACAATACGAAATTGCTTGAATTATTTAAATTTCAAAAATTTAAAATATAAAACAAACTTGCGCCATCGATGACATCATTTCGCCATTTTACTGTCCGTGGTGCGGTACCTGAGACGGCACATCGACGTGGTAATGAGTTACTTCTATCTGATAGATCAACTGGATGCCAAGCTGATTGACCGCGAAACATATACCTCGGATCCATAGCTCCTGGAGGAGAGCAAAGGGAATGATGCATAGCATAGCCAGCTACATCACTGAGCGAACGTTGATTGATAGGCAGTGGACGAGATGTACCGAGTGGTACATGAAACTGTGAAAGACCAAGACTTCCCGGAAAAGTAACGTAGCTAGATGATGCCGAGAGGTAGTCAGGAGCAGTTGATGGCCCAGGAAAAGATGGTAGAGGCACAGATCGTTGGGCTAGTGATCGAGGCATTGAATAAGTATATGAAGGTAGCATCTGAAAATAATTAATAGATTTATTGAAAAATAGCTTAAACTATAAAATATCTTGGAATGTTTTTAAAGAGTAACTTAAATACATATATATATATCGTTATAGGAATTAACAATTCCTACCTGGGTGGGTAATTGAGCATTAGTGGTGAAACTGTCAGCACGACGTACCGTCGAAGGCAATAATTTAGGAGGTGGCACACGAGCAGTTCGTGAAACGGTCTCTTCCAGTTTTTCCGCTTGACTATTCAAGAGACGAGATGAATGAGCAGTAGTAAAATGTTGTCGTAGATTCATCGTCATCATTGATGACACACCAGAAGTTGCTGTTGCTGAAGATGATAATGCAGAGGATGGCTGTGAGCATCGTTTAGCCATTTCCTGAATTTTACACATATTTCAATTAGCCAGTAATGAAATTTATTTCTTCATTATCAATAATGAAAAATAATAAGATATTTGAGTATAGAAATGCATAGTGTCCTTATCACTGTAATTTATCAGTCTTTTCTTTTACATTCACATAAATCATTTTCCCTCTTTCTATTTTCTTAAAAATATATTTTTTCTTAAGTATACTTCAATTAGCAAATTAAAAGACATAGGAACGAAATTTAATCGATTATTTATGAAATGATACTTTGTGTTTTTACTTTCAAAAAGCAAATCTTATTTTGATGAACTGTAATTTATGAATTTTCATTTTTCACATCTTTTTCAAATCTTCACAACGTTAATTTTTCTTTAACTTTACTGCTGTACTTCATATTTTGATTGCCAAATAATTTGCATAATTTTTACTTGGAAAAGGTAGTTGTAAAAAAAATCTAAGATGAAAATGCTTTTTGAAATTGTAATTAAAAGACGCAAAATGAAGCAATTGATAAATCAAGATCAAATTAAGTAAAAAAAAAGGCGAAATTATGTTGTATGTTCTTATAAGTCTCAGTTTAATCTTTGCCATAAAATCCCGGAATATCACTCACTAACAATGACAAACCAAAGAAACCGTCCGTAGATTTTATCAAAGAAGCTGACGTGCATTACTGAAATTGGAATCATACGGATAAGAAGCCAACAATTTCAAATATCTCAATGATCCTTCCTGTTGTACTTGATAGAAATACAAAATAACCATTGAATTATTTTCAGCAAAAATTTTCAATTACAATGTGCAATGCTAGAAGCTTATTGAATCGATTAAAATTAAACTTTCATAAAACTGATTTACCTTAAAATAAAAACCAAATAGACCTAAAGGAAGGTTAAGAAACTAAATGCAACGAAAGAGTATGCTATGGATTAGAAAAGAAATCAAAATGTCGGAAGTGGAAATTTAACATACGATAATTGAAGGCTTTAAGAGTTATATAAAATAAATTGTTATCAAGTTGCTGTTGTCACAAAGGGAAAATAGAGAAAGGATGGACTTTATGAATTGGTAACAAAATATTTATAGGAATAGAAATATCTTGTCCAATTTAGAACAGTAAAATAGAGAAATGAAATCTTAGCTTTACATTTTTTAAATGGTCTTTTTTTTGGAAAAATAAATGGAGGATTCATTTGTTCACAGATTTCTTTTAAATTAGATTAAGCACTGTTCATAAGCACATTATTATTATTAAGGAATGCAAAATAAATAATATTATTCAGATGATAATTGAAAAAAAAAGTGAAATTTTCAGATTTATTTATACATTTATAAATGTAAAGAAGCTGATTGTAAAAGCAGATAGGAATGAAAGAGGAATCAATATTTAGTTAAATGTGAAAAGAAAAAATGCAAAGGAAGAAAAACACGAAAGTTGACAATAAACTAAAACTAAAAAACTATTATACTATTCATATTATCTTATCAAATTAACTTATACCCTTATAATTGTCTCATTTTTATTAATAGCATTATATTTATATTCGAAAGTAACAGTTACCAATTAATTTCCTATAGTAAAATGAAATGGGACAAATTTTAATATTGACGTATAAAGATCTAAACCTGCTGTTGACGAGCCTTCTTACCAAGCCATGTATTAGCGGTTGAGGTTGGATGATTTAGCAAGGTAGATGAAGGTGTATCGTCATGTTGCTCCTGATCAGTTCTCTGAAAAACGACTACTGGTCGTGTAACCATTGATTGTGATTGTGTCATCCTCTCCCTAAAATTATAATTATCGTTGTTGGAAGAAAATTAGCTTACATTAAAGTACAGACAACTGTTCTAAATTGTTGTAAGCATTTTATAAATAGCTGTCTTCATCATGATAACATTGCCCCAAATGACAAGATAAGAGAAGCAGGACAATTTTAAAAATTAAAAAAAGAAAGTTCATCGAAAGTAATTGTTAGATAACAATGATTTATGTCATATCAAGATATGAATAATAATTTAAACATCTAAAACTATTTTAAATATATGTTATCTTATGAAGTAAGAGAAGTAAAAATATCATACCTTTTGTTTTTAATATAACGTATCCTAAGTAGGAGGCGACGTGGTATCGAAAGTACCAAAACTACATCATCAATACTCATCGCAGATACATCTACGTTATTAACTGATAAGATTTCGTCGCCAGGACGAATAATATCACCGTATTTCTCCAATTCTGAATTCTCTCCGAAACGAGATGCAAATACACCTGATGACCTGAAATCAGCCTGTTTTTTCTTTTTCTTTTTCTGTAAATTTCTAGTAAGATATCTACGAAAAATTATGCAAGCAAGCAAACAAGCAAGAAAGTAAATGTTGCAAATTATGTCACCCTGTGATAATAAATATGCAAATCATTCAAATTTGATGCATTTTTTTTTATAATTAATAGTCTTTGCAAATATTTCAGTTTTATTATTTTTGCTAATTTATCTGTCTTCTTTCTGTATCTGTGAGAAAAATTAGGAATTTCCCATGAAAACAAATGAATTATTAGGGTTTATAATTGATACCTGTCAGTGCCGTTACCTTCTCGAAGGTATAAGCCAAGACTTTGTCCTGGTTTTTTGATAATTTCTACCAACTGGACAACTATAATATCACCGGTACCAGCAGCTCCTCGTTTTTCCATTCTATATTCCGACCTGAATGATTTTTTTTCGCTTTATAATTTTTTGAAAAAGCCTTTAAAAGAAAAAAGTTTATTTAAACAATATTTTTATTTAAACAATATTTATTAAGTGCATAAAAGGATCTGTATAGTCCAGATGTTACAATTACCATATTCTACTAAACAACAATTTTTAAACATAAAAATGGATTTTAAAAAATTATCCTTATTTTTTCAATTCTCTCTTCGGGAATAGAGCCTTAAACTTATGGGAGAATGAGCAAATCAAAGGAGAACAAATAATAATTCGTATTTTTTACGTACTATAATAAAATAATATAAATTGCTACCATTGCTAATATTATTAAAATATTAAACATAATTTTGACGACAATTACATATGAAATTAACCATTAAAACTTATTGTTTGATAATTTGGAAAGCAGTAAAAATCATTAAAAACATCTTATATGAATAAAATTTTACTTACTTATCGAGGATACGAGCCGAAAAGCCAGTAATACCGGATGTAGTAAGTGTTGAGCTTTGTTGATCTACTTGATGAATTTTGCGTACAACTTCCTCCGGTAATGAACATCCTAAACTTACCAAAGTTTATTGGATAAAATTTTTAAGGATGTGAAAAAAATAAGAAAAATTGAAATTACTACTCAAAAAGATGCATTTTTTCATCTAAAATTGAAAAGTTTGAGTACAAGCAAAAATTAAGGTTAGAAAATTTTCTTATTCATATAAGATTTAAATATCTCTTTTTTTTTTTGATTTTACATTATTTAGAAAACATTTTGAATATCCATAAAATAATTAATAATCTGTTAAAAGCTATTTTTTCTAATAATGCTATACTTATTATGAATAAAATATTGTTAGGAAATTATTTGATGATTTTTTTCTTTTTCAAATATTCCTTTACGAGAAAGAGAAATTTTAATCGATTCTAGAATTTTTTTTTTTAAATTAATTCTAAAATTGTGAAAAGAAGAGAAGCAACAGAAACAAATGGTACGAACCAAATTGCTACGAATACTGTGCGCGATGAGAAAAGTTCCCGAGGGATTTTTAGTTCTCATTATTCTGTCATATTTACAGCACATTCTCTTTATTTTCTTTAACTTTTTAATTTTTAACTTTCTTGAAATAAAAACAAAACCTCAACAGCTCTTTTTCTTAATGCATAAAATTTAAAAAATAAATATTTCTAATAG